TTAAAATGGGGATGCTACCACTAGAGTTTCCTTAAGCCTAACCATAACCATGATTATTCTGCTAAGAGGAGAGATAGAAAGGAGGAGAGTATGTAACCTCTGCTCCCTTGGATCAGGTCAACTATCTCTCTATTATACATCTCAAGGAAGGCAATGCCTGTCACTAATGATGACACGGTCTAAGGACACAACAGATACCAAAGATCAGGTAAGAATGCCCAGATCCACAAATTGTAACTGTTGCTGTGACTACCTTAATCAAATATTTGCTGCTGGCTTGAATGTCTAGTAATGGTCTCCAAGAACACGTCAACAATGATAGGCTCTTAATGCACTTTTGAGAGAGAAAAAATAGTGCATTGAATTATCTCTTGGCAGACAAAAATAAACCCCCAAGATGCAGTTCTAGTAAAATAAACAAACCTTAGTTACTGTAATTGCTGCCTTGGTTGCCAGGATTTTGAGAGGCATTACCCAGGAGGCATTGGCTTGGCAATGTTTAATTATGGCACCTCCCACATAGCATGAAGCAAGTGTCTATCTCCCCCCCCCCAAATACTTTTCCTGAAAAAACAACAGGAAAATAGGGGATGGGCTGAGGAGTATATCCCTTCTTCTACTAGGCTACAATCCTTCTTTCATCCATTGATGTCCACTTAGCAATCACTGAAGTTAACAAACGTGTACCAAAAGGCAACCACAGAAAATGTTCTTCCTTGCCTTGTCTGTAATTAAAACAAAATAATTCTGTGGGGAATAAGCTTGTGGGCGGGGGGGGGGCAGCAGAAGATAAAGAACATGGCCTTCACATTCTATACAAAGTAGCAGAACTTATACCAGTTTGTTGGTGTCTCCATGTGGGCATTATTATGTAAATTGGCTCAAAGTTAGACCTTGATCTTGCCTTCCCATCTGTCCTGTGTCCCCTTTGTCCATGCAGTCTAATTCAAAAGTTGATAAAATAAGGGATTGCTTAGGACAGGGGTGTCAAACTCAATTTCATTGAGGGCTGCATCAGCATTGTGGTTGTCCTTGGGGGGCCAGGTAGGTGTGGTCAGGGTGGGCACGGCCTACTGGGTGGGCGTGGCTGGAGTGGGTGTGACCTACTGGGTGGGCATGGCCAGCTCTACATCGTTCGCGTCAAAGGTTCCTGTGGGGATCTGGGCAGGAGTGGGACAGATCTGAGGGTCTCTGGCAGAAGGGGGTGGGACTAGGGCAAGTGCCAAGGCATGGTCCACTGAAAGAGCCTGCCGAAACCCCTCCCCTGGAGCCCATCAAGCCGGATATGTGAAGTAGGCCAGGGCCATTTGCTGGCCACTTCCAGGCGATGGTGCATTTTTTCATTCCTCACAAAGGGTGACACCTCCCCAGCGTGCACCCAGGGGGCAGGACCAATGTGACAAGGGCCGATCCCTCCCTATTTCTAGACGGCCTTGTAGAGCTAAGACTGAATGCGTTTCAGCATAGATGGCCACCACAAAATTGTACATTGGCTCCCGGGTGGCCAGGGCTGGGACCGAGGCAGCGGGGGCCATTACCTCACTGTTTCCAGGATGGCTTCGCGGGCCACATGAAACCACGTCGCGGGCCGCATCCGGCCCCTGGGCCTTATGTTTGACATGTATGGCTTAGGATAATGCATGAGATCTCATTGCTACAGCCAACACCCCCCCAAATAACATTTCTAGATATTTTATTTTTCCTCCTCAGTTAAAAAGCATACTTCTAGTATGTACAAATAAACAATAAACTCAAAACACTCTTATTTAGCAAAAAGAGAATGGTTTATGTTTAGCATTATCACTGCTGGAATTGCTGTTCTCAAGTGTTTGTTTAGCACACAATGGACTATGTGTATAAATTCATGTGTCTGTATGTATATTTTGTTTTATTAACTATGGGTCAATTGGCTACACATTTGTTTCTCTGTTATTGCTTAGAAGAATGATCTAGGACAGCAGCTTGGGCTATCTTTTAGGAATCATAGCAATCCCCTAAAATCAAGCTTTAACTAAACAAGTTGATAAATGAGAAATTATTTGGGACTGCCTTATGCTTAGCAAATAGATTATTTAGTATATTTTAAGTTATAATTTATAAAATAAATATTTTAAAAATAGTGTTTAATTATGTATTGTTAACATATTTCAAAAAAAGAAAAAAGAGGTGGCTATAAAGTTTATTCTTTAATATTAATATTAATATGCTTAATATTTCTCACTTGGGGCAGGGCCATAGAATGTATCTTTTTATAGACTTCTTTTTAAATAGATGAAAGCAGAAGTTTACAGATGAAAGCAGATGTTATAGGGTATGCAATAGACAGCAATTCTTAGAATCTACATAATACTGAAGTTCAGTTAGTCCTAAGATGCAGCCATGAAATATTCAACAAAATAGGAAACTCAAGGCTTTCCTCAAACCATCTCAAAAAGATCTGGAAGCTGAGGTAAAGGGGCATTTTTTAAGCAAGGAACAAAGCAAAATTTTTCGAGGTGCTGAATGCTTAATGATGAGGGTACAACAAAAAGGGTTATTGTTCCAAAGTGAACCTTCCTCCAGAGATCTCAAAGGAAGAACTGGAGCACATGCCCCCACAAAACATTTAGGGTCTAATAAATCAATATCTATACTGTGAAGCAAGTTTGAAACAAATAGGTAGTCAGTCCAATTTGTGGACAATAGGCTTTATTCAAGTTACTTGAGTATACGTCAAGTAATAAAGCCATGAAGCAGCAACAATTTATCTTAGAGCAGTGATGGCGAACCTTTTTAGAGACCGAGTGCCCAAAACCTGCCCCACCCCTGTGCCACACTGCCCCCACCCCACCCACCCACAGGGCCACCCTCTGCCTCCATGGCCCGCAGCATCATCTGCGTGCGACAGGTGCGAGGGCGGAGTCTTGTCCCTGCTGCGTGGCTGCCATGTCCTTGGCTGCGCTGCTCTGTGCAAGCCACATCTGGGGGTGACTCTCCTCTGGGGGGGGCTGCTGGTGAGGAGGGGGCCGGGGGAAGGCAGGACTGGGGCGATGGCACACATGACCACAGAGTGGGCTCTGAGTGCCGCCTCTGACACGTGTGCCATAGGTTTGCCACCACTGTCCTAGAGTATAACCATGTATAATAGATTCTTCTATAGTGAGTTAATAATATGAATTATTGAAGAAATAGTTAACAGAATGGTAGCTGATATGGAAATACTGCTGCACATCAAGTATGCACCAAAATTGCTTTTTGAATTAATTCTGAATTTCAATTGTCCTGTTATTTTTAATCCTCTATGGCAGTGGTTCTCAACCTTTTTAATGCCGCGACCCCCCAACCGGTCATAAGTCGAGGACTACTCAACCGGTCGTAAGTCGAGGACTACTCAACTGGTGCAGCACCGTTTGCAGAATGGGACTTTTGGTGGGCTCAGCAGGGCAGAGACAGCCTGGACAATTCCTATTGGTTTTTGAAAGTCAATAGAATTAGACTCTATTCAAAAGAGTCTATTCTATTGGCTTTCAAAAGCCAATAGAATAAAAGGGAGTAGTACAGCTAAGGAAAAGGGGGAAAAATGGCGGACTGTGTTGTTTGGCGACCCCCGTGAAATGGTTGTTCGACCGCAAATGGGGTCCCGACCCACAGGTTGAGAACCACTGCTCTATGGAGACAACCATTTTTAGGATGATTTACAAGACTTTTGTTTCCTTGGACCTCTGATAACTATGAGAGTTTAGTGGGTCCCAGAAGCCTAAAACCTGGGACAAAGGCTAGAGGCCAGCTTGTCTCTATGTAGTTTCCGCAGTCCTCTAGGATTCTTGCATACTTCTGTTTGGGACAGTTATCTGTGAATCTTTATTGTGCAGATAAATGTTTTCAGTATCATAGCCTAAGATAAGACCTATCCTAAGAACAACATTAAACAGAAAGAGAGAGAGAGAGAGAGAGAGAGAGAGAGAGAGAGAGAGAGAGAGAGAGAGAGAGAGATGGCAAAGTTCAGCCATTCCTATAAACAAAAGCTTCAATTTAGGTGTAATCCCAGCTTCCCAGCAGGGTGATCCAGCAAGAACAAACTAACCCCAAGCAACAATTTAAATCCCATCAGTTGTGACAATGTCTCTTTCATTTCTCTTCTGCAGAACCATGGTGTTTTTCTTGACCGAGGTGAATTAATCTCGTTGGTCTTCTCAATGTCCCGGTGAAGTGAAAGTGCCTCGCAGCTGGAGCACAACCCAAAAAGCCACAGGCAGCCTTATTTACCCAACAGTTCTCCAGTTGTTCCCAATGAAGGAAGCATATAACTAGACTGAAGGAAGACTCCAGTGACTCCAAAGGGACTCTAGTGTAAGCCTATGAAAACTAAAGTGATTTACATGCCAAGGAAATCAATGGGACTTAAGCAATTTCAGCCAAATTAAGAAAGAGAATACAGAGAGGATATTCATGAACAATGTTCATTATGAGAAAAAGAACCCAAAATGTTAAATTTAAGGCTTACTGGACAAGTCCAGAAAGTTAAGAAAGAAAAAGCCATGGGTAAAAGACTTCCTTCTTTCAAGGCTTTAGTGCAAAAGGAGATTAAATACACTTTCCTTGTAAGAATGAGCACTTTGTCAGTGTGGGAGGTAATGCATCTTGTACCCAATCAAGAACATTTTGACCATAAATATGCATACACACGACCATCATTTATTTGAGATTCCATATTTCACTAACATAAACTTAAGACTGTTGAGTCACTTTCTAGTGTATCCCTTCAGCATAGTGGCAAATGTTACAGTTATGTGGAATTTGGATAACCTTTTTTTTTTAAACACACACACAACATAACCACAAACAAATAAATAGGCAAAAAGTAACAAATGTGGGAGAGGGAAATCTGCAGAGTGATAGAGCCATACCATAGAAGGGGCTTCCTAGTGATTCAATTAACCCTTTACACATGAAGAATGAGGAAAACAATTTTGGGACTACAGAAGATCTACTGCAGTAATATTTGAAAATCATTTACTTACCACATTGCTGCATGTTCTATATCTAATATTCCGTCCTTCGCAGCTCCTACATCCAGGAAAAAGGGGGGAAAAAAGCACATATCACATACTAACCAGCAGAATGTTCCTAGTTGCTCAAGTAAAAGTCATCTCCACCTATCATTTACCAGTCATTTACATGGAATTCGCCGTTCCAACTGTTGAATATTGTTAAATGCATTTTTGTCACTATGTATTGTACTGGAGCAAAAATACACATTCCATGCGCAATTTCTCTTATTCTCTTGTTACTATTTTTGTGCCTGCAAAATTGCATGGCAGTCATCAAGAAGAGATTACGATTGCCTAATTATAGTAAATTGTCCACAGTTTGCTATCCTTGTTGATTGTAGAAAAATAAGATCCTCTTTATGTTAATAGGCTAAATTTTATTAATGTTATAACCATCTGTGGACTATAGTCCACTTTATCTTTTTCAGGTGTATGTGGTGTTATTTCCTATTCATTGGGCCTGGAAGCAGTTAAGAGAATAGTTACAAGAAAATTTAGCACAGGAGTTGCTGATAATTACCTATAGACATTCAATAAACATTCGTTAAAAAGTTTGGATACTGACATAGACATTATTTTATCGGGGTGGTGACATTAATTGTGAAGTTGCTGAATCTCACATGTCTAGCTATATTCAAACTAGGAGTAAACAAAATAGTTTAATAGCGATGACCACAATATTACCATGTGGTTAAATATATTTTTCATTGGGCAATACCTTGGAAAGAAAACAGTACATTTGAACCAGCACTCTAAATCAACAAGCAATTTCATAATCTCATAGAATCATACCCACATGCAAGAGAAAAGGCCACTAGTACAGTCATTTTCAAAAAATGGAAAAGGCTGCTACATTCAAAGGAGAAAACTTTGGTTTGTTGAAGGCTTGGATTCCTTTGGGTTACCTGTATTTTAATTGTCATTTTTTAAAATGAATGTTAAAATTAAAATCCACAACACTGCTGGATATTGAAAGGAGTGGCATAAACAGAAAAAGTTGCTTCACAGTCTACCATAGTACCCTCCAATAACACTGTATATTTACTCATTACTTACATTTCTTTAAGTTTCAGTTGTCTCCTGATGAAAAAATTCACAAGTTAGGCTAGAATATTTTATAACTTAGTACAGTTTGGTCCAAATGATGTCACAATAAGAGAGGCAGTGAATTTAGTTGTGTTTCCCCAAATGAATTAATTTAATCAGATCCTTTGGCGATGCCTGGGGACATTGTTCCCTACAATCTAACTGAATTTGTTTACTCAGTTTGCAGAAAATTGCTATCTATACATTTATATTGATATTATATTTATATAACTTACATTGACATACAAATTATAGCCATATGTTCAGATATTATTAATGCCACATTACATATCAACATGATTGCTGCAAACAATTTATTTTCACTGAGCATAAATCATCATCCTTATTTCTTTTTTTAATTGCAGACTTAAAAAAACAACAACCATGTTTTCTGTTGCATTTGTAACTGAGTAGTTACAAATGCAACTTTGGGTACTTTTAACAATGCTTAAAAGAAGTTTTTGGTAGCATGTGAGGGAAATCCACCTAATATATCCCTTTAATTCTAGACAAACTGACTGGCAAATTTCTCTTCCATTGGAGAAGTGTCCAGTTCTTGACCAATTGGTTGGTTTTTGCAATGGCATATGGGAATTACCTTGATGAAAACTTGCCAGACTGGACAATAGTTAGACAAGTGGCAGCTAATCTGATTCAATATACTGTATATAAAATGATGAAATAATGAAGCATAACAAAATAAACATATAATAACACAGGGACACAAAACTCATATAGCCAGCATCTGGGGAAAGAACTAGGTCTTTAGGACTTTCTTAAAGTAACGAGATGAACCAATTTTAAGGGGGATGAGCTGCAGTTTCATAAAGCAGATAGTATGGCAGAGAAAGACAGCTATCAGAAAGGAGAGCGAGGCAGATGAAATCCAAACCCAGAGAATGAAGGAATTTTTAAGTGACCACTAATCCCTTGAACTGTACACAGACTCTCACTGGTAACTAGTGCTGCTCAGGAAACATTGGTATTACATAATTGTACCAAGGTTCACTATAATTATTTGTGCTATGACATTCCGGACCAGCTTTAGCTTCCAAGTGGTCTTTAAGGGCAGCTCAATATATACAGTGCATTGTTCCCCATTAATCCAGGACAGAGGTAAGTAAGGCATCAATGACTTAGTTATCATAGTTATATAAACTATTATAAATTTCATACTATGATAATTGCCTTCTTTATATACGTGAGTCAAACAGAACGTAATTATGCTGAATAACAAGCATAAAATGCTTTTCTGTGTCTTAAAACAGGCAATATTAAAAAATAAAGAACCCAAGTTATATGAACATATATATAAAGTGGTCTTATTTCTTTCATCCAGCTGGGGTAATCTGGACAACAAAGACTGTATCCTTTCAATTACTATAGACTCACAACCCTAAATTTGGGCCTTCATCTGCTGTGAACTTTATCTGTTATGTGAGAGTAGTTGCTGAAGCAAGTTTTTCATCCGATCCTTCTCCTGATGTTTTAGTCATCAGCTGCTTGCTTTGCTGCAGACTTTAACTTAAATATTGTGTGAATGAATTTTATTGGTTAGGGTGCTTTCAACCATCAACGTTCTCTTAGATAGCAGTCTGAAATTCATCTGAGATTGTCTATATTTCTATTATCTTGAAATACAGAAAACATACAGGAACACTCATGCTCTTTCTCTCCTCTGTCCAACAGAAACAGGCAAAGAATATTATCCAGTTTCCCAGCCCATTCCTGAGAGCTTCCATTAGTTATGGCAAAAAAATCCCACTTACTATACACTTACTATAAGTGATTAGTTGCATTTACATTAACAGACTTAATTCTATTTTTTCCATATAAGCCATCTCACATTTTTACATTTCTTAAGTAATGGATTTGAACCCCATTCGTGATGGGGATCGGGGATTGCAATTATTCCCCATGAACGAGGAATTCCCAGTAAGTGCGGATCAACCCCGACTGCTCTTTAGAAGGCCAGATCCTGAAGTTGAAACTCAAGTACTTTGGCCACCTAATGAGAAGGAGGGATTCACTGGAGAAGAGCCTAATGCTGGGAAAGATTGAGGGCAATAGAAGAAGGGGACGACAGAGAGTGAGATGGCTGGATGGAGTCACTGAAGCAGTAGGTGTGAATTTAAATGGACTCCAGAAGATGGTAGAGGACAGGAAGACCTGGAGGAACGTTGTCCATGGGGTCGCGATGGGTCGGACACGACTTCGCAATTAACAACAACAAGTATTGGATATAAGAGTTTAAAAAAGGGGGGGGGAAGAAGAAGAATGAAAAAGAAACAAAAAATAAAAAAGAAGAGAAGAAAGCAGTAATAACAGAACATAAGAAATAATATAGTACTTAGAATATACCTGATATGATCTTGAATTAATGCACATTAGTATGTTTAGACCTTTTTTAAAAAATTCTGTTCCCAGTTTGCAACTTGACCATGCTTTCATATATACTGCATTTTATATTATATATGCAGCCTTTCCCCAATCAATGTTAATCCAGAAATGTTGGGCATATTACTGTTTGAGTGGGAATACTGGCCTACAACAGGTACACAAATGATTCTGCCAATTTTTTAAAAGCCAGACTGATGTTCTTCCTTGGTAAAACAAGTTTATATATTGTGCGTCCTGCACAGCCTTGGGTACAGCCCCTAGAGACATCCAAAATTTGTTACCCAATTGTTTGTGATTGGCCAAACACTTAAAATTCAATAAGGGCAATTTGAAAACATACAAAAAACCCTGAGATTTTAAAAGACCCTGCTGAAAATATAAGTAGAGACTGTTTTGATTTAGGTCTTAATCTTTAGGATCAGAAAAATGGGCAAGGAATAGATTAAACTTCCACTGGTAACTTTAAAAAAAAAAAGCAACCATATTTTATGAATATTTTTCCTGCAGCAGTAACAAAATAAACAACCAACTGGAACAATGCCAGCAGCAGTCACTGCACTCAGCAAACTGTCTAGGAAAATCAAAACACAAATCATAATCTTTGAGCTGCCAGAGGCACACATCTGGCAAGTAGTATGGGATAATGATCCGAAATGAGAACAAGACAAGAAGTAATAGAGCAGGAGACTAAAAACTATTAAAAATTAATACTTTTAGCCTAAATAACATTTCCCCGATCTCAGGTTTTAGAGAGTCAGCGTTTCTGATGTAAATAATTTGTCACAGGCGAAATGAACTGAATGCCAGCCTTTGTGTGAGAGGAAGGAAGAGATCTGAGCTTCACACAAATGTCCCTAGGATGCAATGCACTCTAAATTACATCAATGTAATTTTATAACATTCATAAAGGGTAATAAAGCTGCATTAAATTTATTCCTAATATTATTAGAACAGCATTTGGTAACCCATTCAACCCTCCTTTACTGAGTTGCCTCTTTGAACTTAAAGGGCTGTATCCCAAGCTTTGACTGGATCTTTTCAGTGGAAATGCAAAATCCAGATTCTCCTATATAATCCTATGGCACACCATGGTTATTTTGGAAGTCTCTCCACAATTCAGGACAATATTCACCTCCATAAGCTCTGGATCAGTATTTTTCAACCTTGACAATTTTAAGGCATGTGGACTTCAACTCCCAGAATTCCACAGCCAGCAATGCTGGCTGTGAAATTCTGGGGTTGAAGTCCACATGCCTTAAAATTGTCAAGGTTGAGAAACACTGCTCTAGATCCTAGAGAAGAATAGCGACAGTATGAAAGAAAACCATTTCTGCTCTGACTTCCTCTCAAAAAAGGAACCTAATATAACTCTTAAAAACTTCAAGTCAGAATGTAAGCCTAATAGGGAAAGAGATATATAGCACTGGAGGACACTTAAGAATGGAACAAAAAGGCCAGTTCACTGTGGCACCGTGTTACTTGGTTTAAGTTTAATAATAAACAAACAAAATAATCTGGGAAACCATGAAG